GCTAAAGCCCTCCTACCAAAACTTAAATTAACTTAAATTCCAAACATTCAGAATTTTGGTTAGGAAAAAATAATGATTTGTTGTGATGAAACAATAAAGATAGTAAATTTATTTAAATTTACTTGTAAGCTCGCAAAACAATGTTGTATAAAAAGTTTTTTCTAATTATTGGCAAAGTTAAAGTATGTTAAAGTTTAGTATTTACGAATAATCTGGTCATGACAACATTTTAATTATGTTCAATTTAATACTTGAAAATCAAAATTAAATTTCCGATATTGTTAAATATCTGTTTTTAAACAAATAAGGCATAACAAAAGGAGGCTCTGGCAACATTTGTGACCAGATGAGTCTAAATTTATAAATAATGATCGATATAATGAATAAATAAAACTATAGATTTTGGGAAAAACAAATTCACACTGGTCTCGCAAAACTAACTTTCAGAGTGTCCAGTGTAGTGGTGCGCACCTGGGGGTTGTGAAATTTTATTAGGGGGTCACCTATAATTATACACCAAATGAAAAAGTTATATACTATGTATATTATTTTATTATTTTATACAAAGTAAAATTATTTTGTACCCTCGATGGCTGTGTCAATCGTAATATTCTGTTATATTATATATTATCTTAATGTTGCGATAACAAGTTCTATTGAACACTCAGTATATGGGTTATTTTTAAATTGAAACTAAAACCAAAAGTCTTCAACCAGATGATAATTAAAACGAATTTACGTAAAATAATTATAGATAATTTAGATTCCGAGTGAAACGAGAAACATATTAATTTTAGCATGATGTGTTTTAGTTTTTGTGTATGTAAAAATTATTCTATCAACTACTTAAGGGTTGGTTTTCGATAGCAAATGTTGTTTAGTTGGTTCATTAGAGACTAAAGAAGTAATTTTTTGAATTTCTTAACAGTTTTCCTAATAATCGCGGAAAAGTAATGAAAAATTGCAAAAAAAAAAACGGCAATATTTACTCACTGCCGACTTCGATTTTTTTTTTTTAAATGTAATTCAAAAAGTAATAATCGTAAGGAACTGGAAATGTTCACTAAATATTTATATGGATTTTATTTAGAGGTGGTATAATTTTTTAAAGATTTTGGATTTTATCGCGGAAACACTAGATTTCATCAAAATATAATTTTCTAACTCTTATAACATTTTCCTGCGCTGCTCTGGTAAACTTTTTTAGTTCGCTGGAAAGAGCAACTTCTCTAGTACATTATATTTCATTTTTAAGTCTTAGATAAGTATACATATTGGAAAGTTTATCAACATTTAACAACCAAAAATAGGCAGATTTCGTGATTTTTATCAACATTTCAAATTCAAACGCTTATTTTTAAAAATGGTGATTGCGGATTTTTGAGATTTTTTCACACGAGTAAAAACAATGTGTGAAGAACACTGTATCAAAATTTTAAAATTTTATGGCGTACCAATATTTTTTTATTGACGTTATACGAAAAAAAAAATAGGATAGCGGAGAAACGATCGCGGCGAAACGAACGATGGCGAAACGATCGCGGCGAAATGAACGTCAGCGAAACGGTCGCGGCGAATAGTCTGTCGTCGAAACGAATTAGACCTTATACTTAGGGCTCGTTTCACACTACACGGTTTTGATCGTACGACGATATTATTTTTAGTGGCGCGAGACGAGCGATTAGAGCTTTCGTATCATACGGTCACGGTAAAATGTCGGCGCCGCGCCGCGCAACAACCGTGTCTACTTCCAACTACAGATAACGGCAGCCGGACGGCGCGATAAGCTCTGTAATGTACGTGACGAAATGAAAGTTTCAAACATCGCACGATATCATTCGTACGGTAGTGTTCGGTCTTTGAGACGTAGGGCACCGTATTTTAACATTAAAATATTAAACTCATAATAATATATCGTACCTATATAGTAATTATAACAACAGAATACCTACGATTTTCCTGTTGTCTTTTGCGGCGTCGACTGTACAACCCCGCAGTGCAATCATTTGTTTGCGGTTTATTATGACAGCGCTTTTAGTTGATATACAACTAAACCCGTACAAAAGTGTACTAAGCTAACAACGACTGATAGGTACCGACGAACACCGTAATGCAAATCGGGTATTGATTTGTTTTTTGCCGTACGGTCAAAACCGTGTAGTGTGAAACGATTCTTATTCATCGTCCAATTTCTTATCTCAAAACATAATATATTTTCGTGTGTGGTGTAACAATGATTTGTATTTGTAATATAAAATCTATCTACTGTACAGTATTTAATTTATAAATTACACCTATCATTGATCGGTTGAAGACAATTTCAGAAATCAATGATTTCTAAACTAGGTATTCATTTTGGTAAGTAAAATTAATTGTATTAAAAATTATTATTTTTGTGTACCTACCTTAAAGACATTTTCAAATATTAATCTATTAATTAATCTAATACTTTAAGTAAACAGTATTTTAGTGATATTTTTGGTAATATGTTTGAAATGTACTCGAAAATTTAATTGATCTTCAAAAGTATTTTCTATAACACTGGAGTGATAACTCCTTATGGATGATTATTTTTATTTCAGAACATTTATGTAGTTCACTCAAGCCCTGTTCCATATGTACTATTTACTACCTATATGCATCAATAACTTAATAATTGCTATATACTAGCCTAGATTTAATAATTTATTTTGTCGTAATTTGAAATTATTATTAATAATTTATTAGTATTTAAATTCAGTACCATTGACAGTATTGGGGGGTATTGAAAATTAAGAGCAGTGGTATAAATTGGGTACAATTTTTAGTGGCGCAGAGGTATATTCTAACACATTAATTTTTTAATTTCCTAAGTAAAATCCTTCCCTATAAAATATATGGTTTTCCATTTATTTTTTTAAATAATAAATATTTTTTGAATTATTTTAGCAGAAAAACCATTATTATTATTATATTAATTATAAAAAAAAAAAAAAATTTTCTAAATTTATTTCAAAATGGGATGACGTCCTCTTTCCACAGATTCTGAACAAAATTCATCAATTAATTTGTCTAAATTAATATTATTCTTTTTTACAACTTGCAATGTATCTAAACTACTATGTTTTTTTACATTTTTAATGTCTTTAGACAGTAAAAAGATCACAACTTGCTGTATTAATAGGTATTGTTAGAAATATTTTTATTGTCTCTGTAATTAATGGGAAACCCTTTTGAATATAATTTTATTTTATGTATTCTATTTTGATTCTAATTTTTCTACTGAATTATTGCCATATTTTTGCCATATTAACAATTAATAAAATAATTAAAAGTTAAATAATAATAAGTCAATGGTTAATTATTTTAAATCAATATATAAATAAATAGTTTATATATAAAAATAAATGCCTAGCCTGGAGTATTATTATATTTGAAACAGCTCGTACATTAAAATATATTAATACTCCAGGTAAAGCATTTATTTATTTAATTATTTATTTTATATATACAGTGTGTAAACATTAATTGAGAACATTCAATATCTTTGTATATAATATATATATGTATATGTTTTAGGCATATAGTCAAATCAAATAAAGTTAAATTCCTATTTCATGTCAGACAAATAATAAAAAATCATTTTGTATTATTTTAAAAATTTAAATATATTTTCTATCAGTTATTTATTGCTATTTTATATATAAAATGAAATCATTAATATATATGGTACAAGTAATAGCTAATTAGATGTGATAAACGTAGATGATAGTATGAGTGTATTGTATACCCTATAGTAAGTATGATTTGACTTGATTTTTTTATTATTTGCCTGACATGAAATAGGCATTTAACTTTATTTGATTTGACTATATGCCTACGACATATATATATATATCTTTGTCTCTATAGACATGCCATTTGAATTCTGTATTATAGTTGGTTTTTATTATATAAAAATATACATTTTTATGATCTTTGAATTATTTTAACTTAATTAGATATGCGCATGTACAATTTTTTTTCTTAAATAGTAACAACCTATTCTAACTACTAATTTTTAATGAATTTTGGTAACTTCACCAACTTCCTAAGTTTAAAATTTATCAAGTTATACCAATTAAAAAAAAAAAAAAAAATGGTAAAATGCTGGGGATTTTCAGAATTTTTATTGTAATTCTGAAAATAATTGTTCTATGGTTATTCAGATTTGAAATTTTCCTCCTGAGATTTAAATTTTATAATTTTAACTAAACTACAGTTAATTTTCATATATATTTGTTTAAGAATTGTTACTTATAGCATAAAACCTTAAATGTAGAAGTTAATACAGTTTTGTATAACTTTTAATTCGCTGTGGCTGATGAACAAGTATTAACAAAAATAGATCAAGTATCATGAAATCACTATACGTATTACTGTAAGCACAACTATATTACTCATTGCATTTACTGAGACTATCAATACTGTAACATCTTGACCGTAAGAATATAATAATAGGACTGATAACTATACAATACAAAAATAAAACTGATATTAATACAATATAACAATAAAGTTAATTATATAATCCACATATAATCACATATAATCCCACATATGTATAATATTATATATTTTAAAATCTTTGGAATATACTTAGAAGATACATGTTATTGCTAAAGCAGTTATATTCCTACAGTTATCATATCATAATTTTGTAACATAATCTTTATGTTATTATTTCTTTTCTATTTTTCAAAGGATAAAATTGTTATATTTATGTTAGACGTGAAAATTATAAGATTTAGTTGTATTAAAATTATTGAGATATGTAAATTAAAGTTAAGTAACTTATTAACGAATATTTTTGATTTTTAAAATGCTCGATTTATAAATATTATAAAACTATAAATAGTTAAAAAATTATTTAAATGAATCTGTTTAAAAAAAAAATTTAATTTTTTTAAAAAATTAAAATAAAATAAATTAAATTTATAAAGAATAATTATTTATTGAATATTAATAGTATGTATTATACTCTACACCAATAATAAAAGTTCAGTTTTCAAATAAGGATATTTCTGATTTTTTTTAGTATATAGTGGATCAATAATAAATAGTAAAAACGCAGTTGGTACTAAGTTTAATTCACTTAAGGTCATATTCTTATCCGCGTATCCAATTGTACGTCCATCCACAAGTTTCAACTTGAATGGCAGATTTTCATTAAATAAACTTTCTTTGATAAAATCCAATAAATTAGACAAACGTTCATTGACATCAAATATTCCCTAATAAAATAAGATTAATAAAATAATTAAATGTTTGTATATTAATATATAAATAAATAAATAAATAGTTAATATAGAAATTAATATAATAAATTTATAAAAGTTTAGCCTGGAGTATTATTATATTTGTAGAGTACATCTTTATAGTAAATGAAATCTTTTATCTGATATTTACATGCAAAATTATGAAACCAATAATATTATAAACAACAAAATTATATACTCAATTCAATCTTAGAGTACACTAGGTGGTGAACGAAAACTCGTTTGGTCTTTGCATCCTAGTGATAGTGTACAATCGTAAAACACAGATATATATTATACTTAATACCAAACTTACCAACTTCTACTAACCAAACTTCTTTTATCAGGTGAAGTTTGCCGCTCTGCAACCACTATTTTTTCGGTGGGAAAAACATTATTCTAGAGACTAAAGTTTTACTGTTTACTCAGCATTATCGTTTGTCAGTTGTCACTATAAATAGTTTTTTCAAGTCTAATTTTATATTATTTTACAATTAATAATTATTATATTTTATTAATTATTTTTATTATATAATTAATAGGTAATAATAATTTTGTCTACGTCTTGTGCTACTTTTGGATGATCAAAGCAATCCAATAGTAATAATTCAATTGACTTTACTTATTCAAATTAATATGATAGATTTGGTGTGATTAAAGAAAATGTTTTATATTATATTTGTGGTTTTATTGTAAGAAAAATTATCAAAAAACTGGATTACTCAACTTGTTACAAAAATATAATGAACATAATTATTCTCATATAAATATTTATTTTCCTTTCACCAATCTAAAAAATAGAGGGTGGTTAAATAAATGTTTGGATTCTATATTAAAAATAGTGAGATTTGTAAAGAAGCAACTTATTGAGTTAACAGATAATTTTGTTTCTTTAATGATTCTTTTTACTACTAAAATAACTGTTTACACTAAAAACTATGTTTATAATTTTAATATTTTTGTTAATGAAAGTTTTGGTTTCTTAGAGAGCCATAATTTAGAATTAATTTTATTAATTTGTAAACAATATTTAAAAGTTAAATTACATCATGTTGCTAGGTTAGAAAGAAAACTTATTGTAAGCAAATACCATTTCCTTAAAAAAAAAAATGGTGTTACTATTTAATAACCTAAATATATTGTTGATATTAATAAAATACAAATTAACTAATGTGTTCGATTATTTAAATTAATTTATTTATTTGCAAATAATATGATTTTCTATAGCATGTAAAATGTTTAATTTGATATGATCATTATTGTACATATAAATTAGAGAATTTACTAGGATACTTATACAATAGAGTAGACTAATCAGACTATTATAAGTCCTTATTTGTTAATTGTTAGTTGTTCTGTGATTAAACTATTAATTAGTATTTAATATAATATGTACAAAATGTTCAGTATTATATTATTATTAATATGTGATAATTTATTGTTTTGCCCACAGAAAAAAAATGACGGACAAATGATAAGCATGCATCACTGAGATTCACTGTTCCCAATGATCAACTCCATGAGTTTGGTATCTAGTATAATATAGACATCTATGTCATTCAGTGATTTATGACTACGATATAAATCAACCGGAAATTATTACTGGTTGTATTTTATAAATATAATAATACTCCAGGCTAAGCTTTTATTTATTCATTTATTTTTTATTTCTTTATATAAATTATTTGTTTATATAAAAATTTAAATTATTATTTTACTTAAGTGTAAGTTTACTTGTAAAATCAAATAATCTGGAAACTTAATTCGAATCAAACAATATTTATAGTTTGTATTAGAACTATTCTGTTTTTCAATTTCCATATTTTGAATTTTGAGGACTATTTGATTTTCCAGTTCTTCAGCCCTAAAAATGAAATTTACCTAAGTTGTATTTAAATTTGGGTCAGTGTTGACTAAGTTGACTAGTTATTGCTATTATGCTAAAAGAAAAAATTTGATTTGCAATTTTTTGCATAATTAATTATATAAAAGAACCTGGTATAAGTTCTAAAAGCATAGAGTAAAATGTTTGAAATATGATATTAGATGTACATTAAGTAAACATTTTTAAAAATGTTCATTGAATTTTTACATTTTAGAGATAATATATATTGATTAGATACTTTATTATAAAAAACTATATTCAATAAATATAAATATGTTATTAATTTTTTCAGTAATCATTACAATTGGTCCTAAAACTTAATTTAAAAACACCATTGCATAATTTTTTTTTTTTTTTATTTAAAATGAAAACAAAACAATAAGTTAAATGACATTTGTGTGGTTTAAATTTTAAGAGTATCATTCAAAATCATCTTAAATAATTCTATGACTTAATAATTATAATTTTGAAACGGGTAACATTTAAACTAAAATTTTTAATGTGTTTATCTTCATTAAATAACACTAATTGTTTATTAAATTAATAATTAAAGATTTCACTTATTAAGAATAAATCTGCTTATCTTTGTTATGTTTAATAAAAAAAAATGTTTTCAAACATTTATTATAAATGTCCATGTTATTTCAAAATATTTATGTGCCAGTTATATATATTCATTTACATGTAATATTATACCAGAAAGAAAGTATCATATTATCAATTCAAAAGAAATTTAAAACCAACTGTTGAAAAAAGTAGTCTTATATAATATTAAATTAAATGTGATGATTGACAGTCATTCATTATTAAAGTATATTTTACTATTAAATGTTTCAGATTACATTATATTTATTTATTGCAAGATAACTTTAATTGCATTCTTAAATTTACATGTTCACTTTAATTTTTAATGGACTTAAAAGAGAATTTCAAACATGAACAATTTGAGGTCAATTTATTTTAGTTAAAAATTAATCACTGACTAAATTTAGTAATAACTAATAATAATTATTAATCTCAATATTTAACAATTACCCTTTTTGGTGGTCCATTTTTATTTCAGCATTAGATGGCAATAGAACTTGAACGTTTCTATCTAGAACTAATTCTATACGTTTTACAGATTTCAAATCATTAATACTATTCTCCAATAAGGCTAGATCATCCATACTGTCTTCTAAAACTAAGAATTCTTCTTCATGATCTTCCATTAACAATTTTTTTTTTGTGAAACCAATAGATTCTAAGAATTCAATTGCTCCCTTTATTGGTAATACATTTTCCTTAACTATTTGACTTGATAATCTAATCTCTCGATACATTTCTACATCTTGGTACTTAATAATATTTTCTATGTAGAAAATTAACAACTCAATACAAATCTTCACCTTTTAAGTAGAAAATTAAAAGTGAAACATTAATTTAAATGTGAATTAGTTATTAACATACCTTGGATTGATTAGGATTGCAGTTTTTAATTAGTAGAATTGACTGTAGACGTGGATCATCTTTCATTTCTTCTTCAATAAATTTTTCTATTTTGGCTGGCCATTCTTCTTGTGGCAAAATGTCTAAACCTTAGAAGGTAGGCTTTACTTTATTATAGTTTTGTTAATTATAATATTTAAAAAAAAAAAAACTTGCAGTTTATTATTGGGCATTGAAAAAAAACACCACTGGTTTTGAATGGTCCAGAAACTGCAGCTCTAAAACGTTTGTTATCTGAATGAGAGAATGTACCTTTGTCATGTTTCATATTTATTTTCTTAGCATTCATTTTTCCCAAAACCTTAAATTAATAGAAGTCAATGAACTAAAAATAACTATACAAATAACACTCTTAGGTTAAAACTTAATTTTAACTGTAAATTTTTTTTACATTTATTGAATCCTGAAGTTTATTATTTTTAGTTCAGTGACTGAACAAAAATAATAAACTTCGAGTGGAAGGTCACTGAACTTCAGTGGCGCTGATTCCTATGAGTTGATATTGCGAGTGCAATACCTAATTTAGGTGGGCGGTCCTGTGATGGACAGGGGTACTCTAGTACTAGGATGCATAGATTTTAACAATTTATATTTTGGATATAAGACAAGACAGTTTCAAAATTTTAGTTATATAACTCAATTCACTTAGCATTCATTGCAGATTAAATTTTTATGCAATACCATATTAAACAGATATCTGCACCTCTGATTTTATTCAAATACCTGCTATTTATTTATGCTTAATTGCTCTTATATTAAGTAAAATATGAATTATTTTAAACTAAGTAAATTAACAAAATGAAATAATTAATTTCATTGGATTGATTTTATAAAAGAAAAAAATATTAATTTTTAATTCAATTTTTATTGATTTTCTGTACAACCAAAAAGAAATGTATAGTTTATAAATTGTGACTAAAATAATTATTTCTAGCTTAAATTTAAAATAAAAATGTAAACTTGTAAAATGACTTTGCTATTATCATAAATATTATTAACTAATTCTATTAGTTTCTTATATAAAATAACATTTTTTTTTTAATTTTTGATAAATTTGTGTTAAAGAAATGTATTGAAGATTTGGAGGTGAAATATAATTTTATTTATTAGTGATGATATTTGTAAATAATATGTATTATTTCAACAAAATACTCTTCTTCCTTATATTCATGTAGTAGATGACAATTAAATAACAAACTTCTCTATTATTTTAGATGTATAAATTATAGTGTACATTATTTTCATTGGTTTCTTATAACGATATATAATAATATTCTGAGAATAGTAGTTTAAATATTAATTCAAATTTCTTTAACCGTATATTTTATTTATTATGATTATTCTGTTGATATTATATTCATCATTACCATAAAGTTTTGTTGGTTAAAACACAATACAAGATCTAGTTGGTAGGAAAAGACTGACAATTAATATTTCCATGTAAAATTTCAATACAATTAAATTATTTATGTATTTATTATCTATGGTATTGATAATAATTATATTAACACATTAACTGTTAAAACAGTATTGTTATTAAGAGATGCCAGGGGACACTTTTGAATACATTTTACTCTGAAAACTGACTAAATAGAGAGATTACTGTTATAGCAGTGGTTTTTTCAATAGTACCATATGGAAGACTAAGTTGTACTGTCCCCATATAGCATAAAGCGAATTGGGCACTGACAAAGTTAGGTTGATATACATTTTTTTATAACGTTTATGTTATAAATAGATATTAATTTCCAAATTTCAGATATGGTATATATATATATATATATATATATTAATAAAATATAATTATTACAGCTACAGCAGTATTATAACATTTTTGTTGTACATACATCAAATATTTGATTTGATGGGACACTACTGCTATAAAAGTACTAAAACAAATACTGCTTTAACAGTACTAAGACATTGATTTATTTAGACATACTTTATATAATGATTAATATTTCTCACTATCTGTTAATGAGTTAAGTATGATGTTTTGAGTTCTACTAACTTGTACAACTTAGGAATATATACATTTAATGCTTACATTGATAATATATCTAATTATGCTAGTAGAAAAATTAAAGAAAATTATATTGCTATAAAATAAGTACTAAGTACAAATAGATTTTTTATTGTTTGATTCATTTATATTTTATGCAATTATGCATTAATCACTGCATTACAGTATTCAGTGGAAAGAAATTAAATTAAAACTAGACTTGTGTAATTATGCTTAGTATACATTCTAGCATTAAACTTTTGGAATCTTAGGTTTAAGTTACTTATATAACAGTGCATTTTTTTAAACTAGGTGACACAAATTTAGTCCAGTGAAAATAATTTGTTACCTAGTTTATACTATTATGAAAGACTGTACGAAACTCAATTAATTGTCAAAAGAAAATTTTTTTAAAAAATAATTTGGAATGTATGGTAGATAAGTTTATGTATGGGTAATACAATATATGGTTATACTATCAATATTTACTTTTTCTACCAGCATTAACCAGCATTTAACCAGATTTATTTTTAATAAATATGGGGAGTAAACGTGAAATATTACCATCATAATATATTATACTTTGTATATTTGAGAAAAAAATGATTTGTCCCTAGTGAAAATTCCTTAAAAACGCACTGTTGTACAACAGTATTATTCTAAGTAATTTGATCTTAAATATTTTGTCCTTACTTCGTAGATTTGTTAATTTGTAAAATATATACCACTAGTAATTATTAATAAAAAATACAACTGGTTGAATAATACTCGTTCCATAAAATTATGATATAATAAACTAGATGTGATGCATTTTTGTGATACTCATATAATACTTTTCCGCTACCAATCACTTCAATAATGCAATATGGTACTAGACTTATGACCGTTTTTTATTGGTTGTTTATAAATAAATATATATACACTATGATTGTGCACATACTCTGATAACTCGTTAAATTATTGTTAAATATGATTACATAAACTTACAAGTTATTAATCATTTCATATTGTAAATTGTAGAAAATTTATTTATTTAAAATAATAATATTTATTAAAGAACAATATTAACACAGAATAGATTAATAACATGAAAAATTAGGATTAATATGAATTTAATATGTAAATATTTTTACTAAAAAAGTTGATAAAAACGAGATATTGGTTATCACCAAAAAAGTACCAAAGTCATGGTAATAGACGAACCAGCGATAAGTGGAAAATGATCAGCGCAATAATTGCGCAACATAGACTAAAATACTACTTATTAAAATGTGACATCATACCTAATTTTTGAAATCATGCAAAAAATTATGTTAGATATAACATTATATTATTTCGATTGTATTATGTGAGAGGTAGTCCATAGAATAATATTACTCTATTGAGCAGTCACCCGAAAAATAATAAGAATACGGGGCAAAATATGGTGGCATAAAATGTGTTGCCAACATTAAACTTCTAAAAATTATATTATAAAATTTACTTTTTGTCTATGGCATAACACTGTTTCCTTAAAAATGATATAATTTAAAAATGGTTTTAGAATAGACTATTAATTAATGAAAAATGATTATGTACATGCAGTGATGGTGCTAGAGTTTGCGAGGCCCTGGGCAAAATAAATATTGGGTCTTATAATTTATATTAATAAAATATTTTAAGTTCAGTTAAATCAGAACTGCGGGGCCTTAATTATAATTCAAGGCGCGGGGCCCTGGGCAACTGTCCCTATTGCCCACCTCCTCGCGCCGTTCCTGTGTGCATGTATGGATGTATGGTGTACACGTGGAAACAATAACTATTAGTATTTTCCGGCTATTATTAATATAAATTATACTTCTGAATATGTAGTTGATTCACTGACTTCTACTTAATACTAGCTAGCGAATTCCCCTTATTAATTGGAAGCATCGATTATCCGTTGCTGCCATGTTTTCAGTTGGCGAAACGTAATTATTATGCAGTATGTACAATGCAGAAAACTGAATATACTACCACAAAAAAGTATTTTACGAAATTTGTTCCTAAACAATCATTTCTTTAATTAATAAAAAATTTAATGATAATTTATTCATAATTGTGTAGTGATCCCTTAACCAAAGATTTTATTACACAGACCTTATTTGGAAAAACCACTATTGAAAATTGATTCTATGTCTTCTATTTTCCGTCGTCTTATTAATAACCAAAATCCCAAAAAGTTAACCTGCACATAGAAATCAGTTACTTAAAACCCCTGCAAACCCTATTAATTTTTCTTCAAAAAAACCTTAGAAACTGACAAAAATTAAGGTATTTCTAGTGATCCGATTTGAAAAATTTAAATTGGTAAACGAGTCTAATTATATAGCATAATCGCAGGCGATCCACAGGGATCCATAATAGGACTCACCATGTGAAATGTCCTATATAACAGCAGTGGCGCGATTTCAGTTTTTGATAGGGGTGAGAAACATTTTTGACCGGCCCTTACTACCGGGGGAAATAAAGAGTTTCGCTCACACGTTTTAACTTATAATTAAGGTGCATATTTTATTTATTACATCATTATACAACTTAAATTTTTGCAAAATATAATTTTGTATTTTATAAACATTACCTTTTTTAACCGACGGTGCCGCAGGAACTGCTTTCGCATTCTTCCAACATTTACAATAATTTTCACATTCATATAATCAAAGGATGTTAGGGGGGACAGTCCCCTTTATAAACATCACCTAAACAAGGTTAATCTAACTTAATCCTAAATTAATCTAAATTTTAAGTGTATATCTTCTATTTCTCATTTTTAAAAATACATCTATTGCATCATCTAAATTGATTTTTGCAGCAATATCTCTTTCAATACCTATAACCAATAAATTACTCAGCCGATCATTTCCCATTGTCAAGCGTAGATAGGTTTTAATTCATTTAAGGGTAGAAAAAAACGTTTATTGGAAACAGTTGTTAGATGCAAAGTTAAAAGAATATTTATAATTTTAAGAGTTTCAGTAAAAACTATAGGAAGTTCATTTAAAATTTTAGAAATGAAAAAGATCATGAATTCCATCGTCTTGTCCTTTATTAGAATAATTTAAGTTAATTAATATAAGTTTTTTGCAGATGAGAATTCAATTTGAAGTATTAAATTATTAATTTTATAATGACTTTATTGATTAAAGAAAGACAATAAATAGGGAATTTTTAAATTAAAATAATCAGGACTGGAAGATAAGAAAATATTACAAGTAAAAATGATTTCATTGCTGGAATTGCTGAAACAATGATTAAGTTCATTCAATAATGTAATGTTCTTTTTATGTCTATTTATAGTTTATACCAATTGGAAATTGCCAAATATTGTGGCAATAAATAATTATCTAGTACCCAGTATTTTCAAAATTGTTTACACATAACGGCTTATGGCTAAACGACAACGACTGGCCCTTCGGGATGCTTTTATACTTATGCTTATATAGACAAGGGCAAATGTTTAATTACTGCAATTACCATTTACTATATTAATTTAACTAAATAGATCTAGTAAATGGTTAGATGGTAAATGGTAAATTAAATGGTAAATGGCAAATTAGATATTTTGTGTTGTTAGACTTTTTAAGCAAATAAAAAGGCCAATATAATATACGGCATGGAGGATTTGAAGCCATTGTATTATAACTAAGTCCTAGTCCTTTTTAAATATTGTATAACTTATTATAACTAACTTATTATATCATAAGTAAATATTTTAGGTATTCATGAATATTTACTTATAATTATTAGTTATATTCATAACTATTAAATATTATATGTAATTTATTGGATTTTAAATATTAGTTTTGGTTTTAATGCTTAATAGTATTATATAAGATATTATACTTGTTGGTCTTCAATGTAAAAATATCCTAAGTCCATTGACATTTTTTTTTTTATAAGCAGATAAAAATCAATAAAAATTACAAAATATTTTTAAATTAAAAATTAATTAAATATTTAATTAAAAATACTGAATGCTTGAAAACTTAACATAACATTTTTCTCTAGTAACTCAGTGTAGTAAATAATATTAGCAAAAATTAAATTTATATAAAAATTAGATATATAGATGAAGTTGGCCATTTTGTTGCCTAAGAATTTTAAATAAATTATTACAATTTAAGTTTAAAGATTATGGGTATTTATATAATTTTAACCATCATCTTATCTGGTAATAAAAATAGCTCAATTTCTGATTGACCAGAATCTTTTATAATTAAACATCATAATTGTTCAACAAATATTCAATACAGAGAAATCAATATTAATTCCACTGTTAAAATGAAAAATATAATTCTTATATCAACTATAATATGTTATATAAAATGTGTATCTAAAAATGTAAAAATAAAAAAAAACTTATAATTATTATAAAAAATCATTAATATATTACAATTATCATTATATTCTAGTGTTTATATTTATTGTATAATAAATTACAAACAAATAACTCAATTTCTTTTACTTTTTTCAAAAATAAATTATTTTTATATTATGTTAAACAAATATTATTTATAAAATATTATTATTTAAAGATTGGTCTTATTTATATTTTTTAATTCATAATATACAAAGTATTTAATTATAAATCTTTTTATGTGAAATTATCTTTTTATAATAGATCTAAATTTAAGCAGGAAAACATAAAATGTCTGAAAGATTAAGAGTACACGGTCCTCCATTATATTGATCATCAGGAACAATAATTTCATCTCTGGCAAATGTGACCATTACATGCCTAAAAATATAAGAAAAAAAATGAATTAAAAAAACACACTTAGACTCACATAAATAAATATATATGTATATTATTTGGTAATATCTTTCAAAATTGCATAGTTATTAAATAATTAATAGTATAAACTTATTGTACCAAAATTATAATATAATTAATATTTTTTCTATATTATTATTTATACATATTTTTTTAAAACATGCTCAAGATGTTATCTCTATGGAAAATGATTCAATAAATAATATTAAATAAATTATAGTTAAAAAAATATTATGCTTTCTCTTAAAATAGAATTTAAAAGTAAAATTGAAAATGGAAATACACAAGATTATGAAAACATTGACTTTGTATTCATAAATAAAAGTAAAGGTTTTATTTTGATATGGTTTTTTCTTCTTTTTTTCTGGATATCTACACGATTTCAACTATATAAAAAGCTTACTCAATCATTGAGAGAATTTTTTCTGAATATATTTATGATTTTCTAAATAATTGAGAAAGACTAACCAACATTTTTAAATAGACGACTAAATTAATTGGAAACCAGTTTACAACAAAATATAAATATTTTATTTCTTTTTAAATAATAAGAAATAATAAGAACCGTATATACTTGAAACAAAAACAAGATAGGTACTTTATATTATAATTATATAAGTAATAGCGTAATAGTTTTACTGTTACTATCAAATTAAATAAATAAAGTTAAAGGTTACATAGTTTGCAGTGTTTTTTCCTCAAAAAGTATTTTTTATCAATTTGCCATTGAAACTATCAGATTTAATCAATTTAATACTTGAAAATTAAATACAAGATCCTTATAAGATTTTCTTACTTCAATGAGAATATAATGCAAATATTTAGGAGCAAGTTCTTTTTATAAACATTAGATTGTTAAATTTAAGTTTTTAACTAAATTATACTTATTAATATTTTTTTTTACAAAGGTGGGTTTGTAATTCAACCACCTAATTATAGAATTATGAACCTAATATAACTTTTAAAGTTATACAAAATATTTTTTAGATAAAAAAGCTAATCTACCTGATTTCTTTCACTTGGAATAATTTTTTGAAACCAACAGTACATTGATTTCAAATTTAAGAATAACTGTCTATAAAGATTATCCGACTCTCGTGACTGAACTTTTTAAATTTGTAAAATTATTTTATTTATTAGAATAGAAAATTAATAAAATAAATCGAATAGTTTACCTGGTTTCAATAATTTCTCTAAATGCTATATTTTCTGAATATAAATCTCTAAAGTTATCATTTGAAACAACGACTGCTCCGAATTTAACAGCCTGGTTTAGAATAATTCTGAAATATAACAAATAATTAAAAATAGAGCAAAACTCCATGGTTATGTAAGATACAGGGATGAGTGAATAGTATAGCTGTATTGGTTTTTAAAGCTTTAAATATGTGCACTATTGCATAATTTTTGTTCATTAATCAGTAATAGATGTGGATGAGGAACTTAATATTAAGTACCTGGTCAAATCAACATTAGTTTATCGATATTTTTTGTAATAAGTTTAGAAAATATGAAATTTTTCTATAAAAAAACATAAAAAAAATCAATTAAAAATTAAAATATCTATAGCAAACAGTGATATTATAAGTTTATAAAATCATTCAATGAAAATGTCAAGTCCAGGGTCGGTGCTACTTTTTGCCCTGGGCAAAACTAATTTTATCAATAATCATAGTCACCTATAGCTTGTAGGCCGTAGTTAAAGGCGATAATATGTAATCAGAAAAGGTGAATGCTGCATGCTATATCAGGTAATATATAATAAAATATATTATATTAAATATATTATACAGTAATTATACTATATATATAATAACGTTTAAGGTATACCGGTTTCCATCTGTGCGGCGTTCCATACTGGTCGTCGATTCATATATGACATATTAAACATAATATAATATTGTTGTTTTGTTAATTTGTTTTATTATAAATAAATGTTATTACACATGCTTGTATGCTGTAAAATTAACCGTTTTATAATTTGTTTATAACTTTTCCTCAGTTTTTAGTAATTATTCAAAAAACTGTTAAGAAATAAAAAAATTAACACAACTAGAACCCATTTCCTATCTTTTATTTGGTAATGATCAGTATCATCGAAATTGTGTATGCAGACAAAAAAAAAAAAAAAAAAAAACGCATGATAAAACCAATACAATTTTCATTCCATTCAGTATCTATAAACTATTATTAATTATTCATTTATATATTTTCCGGTCTTAAAATATTTATTTTGATAAATAGACAAGGTATTATCGAAAGTATTCAATGACTTATAAGTTATAAGTTATAATCATGGCTTGTAAGTTCATGGATTTGCATATCAATCTTGTAAAGTTGTATTTAATGCTAGATAACATAGAAATCCATCTCAAGGTCCCACGGTTAAATATGTAAAATCTTATTTTGCATGTTTTTGCATATTTGACATGTTTTTGTATATTTGGCATATTTATGCATATTTTTATTTTATTGGGCATATTATACAAGATTCTATTAGAGTTTATCAAAAATCTAAATGGAAAATTTATATAAAATTAAAAATAGAAATTGTATTATCTTTTCTTTTCTTATCTTTTTAATACTTGTACATTTAATGAATAAATTTATTTCAAAAGTTTCAGATTTAAAATGAATTATTAACAAAGACGTACATAATACGCAGTTCATGAAGTCTTAATGATAGTTTTAAAATTGTATCAGAAATCTATTATTTTTTTTTTATTATAACATAAAAAATAAAATATAGCTATAAAAAAATGAATAGATAATTCATGTTATTTCAAAAATTATTTATGATTTTTTTTAAGTGCATAATTTTAGATATTTAGTGCATATAAATGCATACTTTTAACTTTTTAAGGCATTTTTCAAAGCACTTTTTGCCAATTTTAAGTGCATAAATGCATGCTTATTTAGGCATTTTTTAGGGCATGAACGTACGAACCCTGGTTATAATAAATAATAATGTGCCACAATAGAAAAAAGTTTAGCAACCCTGTTCTAAATAATATTAACCAGAAGAATTGCTCCAATCAAAAATAGGGACAAATAGTTTCTTATAACAAATGCTTATAATCCATTCTAAAAGCTAATAAACTAAGCTAATACTAGTTTACGCAGAATATGAAAGCACAGACTTCTATTTTCATCTTTTACTGAATATGATTACGCGCCAATTCCGAAAGGTATTTCCGATCATGATATCGGCATGTTTCAATAACTTATTTTATATGGATTCGGATGGTTAATTGGAAGAAGGTTCGTGTTGCTCGATAAGAACGAGTTACTGTCTGGTTTATTATTTTTTGGAATTTTTAAATGAAGTACAGTTAGTTTATTCGGGAGATTATTCCAGTAATTCTGTATACTATATAATTAGAAAGTAATGACAATCAATTACAAAAAAATAACTAAAAAAATTCACGACATACCATGTTTAACCAAATGAAATGTCACAAAGTAATTTAAAAAATAATAATGATAGAGATTAAAATTTAGTAATGTTCATTGAATGCATTTATCATTGTTCTCAAGAAGTAATACAATTTTGAATTTAATTTGCGCATTTAAAGATATTTTAAATAATTATTTTTTTTTAGTTTATAAAATTAAATTTATATAGTATTATTTTTTATGTACAATTTAGAATATGTAAAATTAAGATATTCATACATTGTTCTTACTGTGTAAAAATTTAAAAAAAATCTTTTGTCAACAATTTTTTATAAGCAACTGAATTTTAAATTTTGATAGAATTAACTAAAATCACAGAAATTGTATAATTATTATAGTTATGAATTAATTAAACTTTTGATTTTTAAATATAAAGATTGAAAAATGAATAAAAGATTCTTCATTAGTTGACATATGTAGTTAACCAAAACTAAGTTAACTGGGGAATAACAAAAAAAAAAAAAAAAAAAATTTATAAGCATTAGAAAATAAATTTTGAAGAAATAGGATGTTTTACAGTAATTTGTTTATATTATACGAAATATTTAGAAGAATTTTGATTAAACAATGTACATTTTTTACCTATAAATATACATTTAAGGAGTGTAATATATTATACTGTACACTTTAATTAGCTTTATTAATTTTTTTTAAGCCAGTATAATCAACTTGAATATGAATTTCTAAGACTTATAAACAAAATTGATGAAATAGCCACATGGCAATAGGAAAAATAGTTTAAAAATATAAATAATCACCGATCATCATAACAAGTCATCCTTCGATCGTTGATTTTTCTGCTCGGTGTATAACAAATATGCCCTTTTTTAAATAACTTGCTTAAGACAAATTTTGATAAAGAACCAGGTGGTCCCTGTCGATGTTGCGGAATAAATACTAAAATATCAGTATGCCCTCTAGCAGCAAAATATTCTATACATAATTCAATGCCTTTTGCTGAAAAAGTTCCATGGCCATAACTAAAACATAAGATACAGTTTTATTATTTAAATAATTATCATAATAGCTTAGAGAGCAAAAATAACTATTTTTAGTGGGCCTTATATGAAAATATATTGAAATATTTATTTTAATAATTTGAATTAAAAAAATTTATTTTATAAAATATATTCAAATTTTAAAAGTTATGATTTGATTGTAGAATGTCAAATTAATAATAATTGATAATTTTGTTATTATATAATCATATTTAATTTTAATATTTATATACAAAATATATACAGAACTTTATTTACTTATATATATGATTCATCATATATTTATACTAAATAAAAAAAATTAGAAATAATATTTGATTTTTAATGAAACTTTATTCATACAACAAGAATTAAAAAAAAAAAATAATTTTTAAAATACTTTTTTAATAGACATTTTACATTGACAAACGTTGAGCATAGAATGTTATATTGTGTTTTATAAACTGATAATCGTTTGAAGAGAAAAATTGATCACCAATTAAATATAGTTTTATATCATCAATTAAATTTTAATTATTTGAAGTAAAAATCAATTCTTTGTAGCTTAAATCAGCAATTCCTAAACTTTTTCAGCAATGAGGCTTTTTTTTTAAGTAGTATTTTCTCATGGAGCCCCAAGAAATATTTAATCTTAAGTTTTATTTGTCTGTGTTCTACGAAGCATATTACATAAGATATGTATTTATATAGGAGGAAACTCAAACAGAGGTGGAACTACGAAATTTTACACCCAGGAAAATTTTTAATTACGCCCTATCATAGACCAATAATCAATAATACTCTTCTCGAGAATTTTTTTTTAATAATTAATATACAATCATATTTATTGAGTTTTAACCTAATAACAGTATTTAACAAAGTTAAAAACATCAAATTAGTTGTTAATAATTATAAAAATTACACCCTTTAAATTTTATCCCAGGGGATGAATTCCCGTTTTCCACCCACTAGTTCCGCTCCTGAACTCAAAACAAGACAAAATACATTTAATATAAAATATCTGACCAGAAATTCATTGAAATGGGAATACGTATTATTTAAAATTACAAAATTAAATTCTCCTATCAGGATTTTAATATTGTTTGTATATAAATTAGTGAATTATATTTGAGTTGACTAAGTCTTGTAAAAATATATTTGCTAGTTTTTTTTAAATAATGATCAATAATTGTTATATTATTACATTTTCTATGGTATAACAAACAGAGCCCTGGAGGAACAATTGTGGAGCTTTAAGGGTTGCGAAACACAGTTTGGGAATTGCTGGTTTAAATTATTTTTAATTTAGTTTTATAAATATAATTTAGAAATTCAGGTAATTTAGGTAAGACTCACGCATGTCCAATATTTAAACCATCAATATAGATTGGTCGTAACTGTCTAGTAGTCTTCATCAATGTTGTACATGGAAAATTAGTAGATGGTTGAGGAGGTTTTGAAGGAACATTCATAATTTTAATATGTTCGTTGTTCTTTGAATGTTGCAAGTTATTTTGATGATTCACACTAAGTTCATTAAAGTTAAATGGTGCATTCACAACATTTAATAATTGTTTATGGTAGCATACATTTTTATTGCGGTGTTTTTGTATAGCCTTTTTTGAATAATCAGAAACCCCACAAGATTCTTTTATAGAATTGTGATTATTAGAATTTTTAACAGACTGTTTTTCTTGTGTGTTTTCTTCATCATCACTATCCAAAATGATAAGTTCAATTGGATTTTTATGACCACAAATGGTTTGACTTAATATCGTATTATTTCTTTGTTCAAAGTTTTTAGTAATATCTATAGTGTAATCATTTTCAATGTTTAAACTTTTTGTTTCAGAAGATGATGCTTGATTCAATACACAATCATATTCATCAGTAATATCTATTATTTCTTGAATTTCAGAACTTGGATTAACTGTGTTGCAACCAACAGTATTCATGTTATTTAATTGATTATTTGGAGGAGGTGAATCATCATCATTATCTATTATTGTTACCTCAACAATATTAATATTCTTACACTTCTTATTTTTTACTTTTCCCATGATTTATCTGTAAAATTTTTTTATTATACTAGTTAGTTATACAAAGGTTTTTAGTAAGTATAAAAAGTTAACAACATAAAATAATTAAAAGTAGAATTATTTTCTAAAAAATTAAAGGTAAGTATTAATATATTTCTATTTTGCTGTGTACATTATTGATAATAGTAATTAATAATTACTAATAATCACAGCGTAATCACTGATTAAACCGTCATAAAATGATAAATATTATCATTATTTTTAATTTTATAAGTAAGTTCACCATTATTTATAATACGTTGCTAAATTTTGATATATTTATATATATATTATAAAATTAAAATTTTTTTTTCAGGCATTACAGTTATCAATAATGTAAATGATGACAACAACTAATAACAATTAATTTACAACATTTTAATTAAAAATCTATCCCCCCCATAAATTTCAGTTTGCATAACAAGAAAAAAAAAATAAAATGTATTATCTTGTAAAAAATTAAATCATCAATAGAAATATTTTTAGAAAAAATTGATTTATACATCTCGGATTTTTAAATTTTTTTTATTTAATTTAATTGAACTTCGCAGAAAATTAAAAAAAAAGATTAATAATTGTTCGTGAATCCGTACAGACTCCATTTCTAATAACCTAACTTTTATAATAATTATTATATACATAGTATAAAAATATTATTCCATGTACAATAATATCAAGATACTTTCACCAAAGCCTGGTCTAAAAATTGGATGATAAAAAGTTAAGAAATGCAACTAATTAAATAATTAAGTTTTCAATTACTTTTTCCCTTTACCTAGATGCCCATTCCATAATAAAGTTATATAATAAAACCAGGACCGTTTATAAAAAATCGAGATAGTAGATTTGATACATGACTGACTAGGAGCATTCACTTTAGTATAAAAATTGCAAATAGCCAGATCGATTTTACTACAATGGACCACTCTGAAAATATAAATTCTAAATTAAATTCAACTTTATATTATCATTTTGTATTATATCATTTTTTTTCAATAACAATTTGTAAATAATTTTACAGTGAAAATTAAATACTATTAGATATAATTCATAATAATAGATAACAAATATAATAATAAACATAATATAAAACTTAGTTAATAATTTTTGTTAGTGGCTGGAAACAACAATCAACTTTGGCATTGTATTTTTAATGGTAGTATTTATTTTTATTTTGATACGACTCCGCATAATATGGAGGAGTTATAGAAGTGAAAATCTCGAGTGAAAAATGATGCAACGGTACGGGCTTTGTTGAACCCGTGGTTCTATGTACCGAATTTCGAAGCATAATTATTGGACTAAAGGCCTTCCCACACTAAATATGCCGGCGTTCGTTACGATGACGTAAGTCAAAAGTATGCGTTCGACTCAACGTACATGGGCCTCACACTAACTGCGTTCAAGTACGGATCTAGAACTCAAATTGGGGAGGGGGAAGGTAATTTTTTCGAAAGGACAAAAAGATAATACACAATTGCAAAATAATTAAAGTAAATTATTAAAATTAAATAACAAAGTTTAATCTTCTTTGTTTTATTTTTCCAAATTTTTAAATAATACTATCAACATTTATGGGTATATTCTTGTGAATATTGAGCAAAGCGAGACCGATGAAGCGTTCCTCTCCCATGTTTGAAAGAAGCCATGTCTTAAGGCGCCTGAGAGTAGAGAATGATTGCATGTATAATATTTTTTAACAAGTTATTAGAACCTAAAGTTATCTTTCCGTCGAAGGTCGAAAACTCAAACATTTCCGCAGATTTACTATTATATTTATATTTATACGTCAACAATATTATAGTCTATCAGTGAGTATATAATGACTTTTAATATTCTTAGAGGTTGGATGTAAATTATGATTTTATGAACAAGTGGTGATGTAGTTTAAATGTATATAAATATAATATGTTGAATAACATTTTTATTACAAGAAAAAATTTAATTGAAAAAAATAATTAAAAACGCAATTTATGCATATTTTAATTTTTAAATAAACACGAAGGACCTAATCTTGATGTTTTTCTGGGGAGAGGGTCATGACCTGGTTTGTTAACCAGTTTGTTAACCAGCGCCTGTGTATGCGATCTAAATGCGGGTGTAGTATAGGTTATGTTTATTGGGATAGAGAATACTGTTTTTTATATATTTCAAAAATAAAATTATTTTGGTGTATAGTTTAATAGGTACTTAATGATTATGTTATTGAATATAATATGTTTTTATTATATTGCGGAGATAAAATTAATTTCAAATAGCAATAAATGTTTCGATTCTAGTAAGTCAATGCATCTGATAACAATTTTATATCATACGTCGACGCATCGTACGAACGTATCCGATTTTTAACGCGTCGTATCCAGTGTGCGAACTTGTATTTAAATATGTAGAATTTATTAAGAGTACGTCATCACAACGGTTGCCGACGTATTTAGTGTGAGAAGATCTTAACTCTTTTTATCTATTTACTCACGATTTTACACCTATATCATTGGTAATTAACTACGTTTTACGGCTAAGGAATGAGAGAAGACGCAAATTGTCATACCTCTCCCGGGCCACACAATTAGGATAACTTGAGTCAGTGGTTGTCAGAGTGAGCAATGACGTAGTCAACTTTCCTTCCAGAATGTCACGAGTAACACCACTCACAGGAAATCATCAACAAACAACTTTCTGAAGTTGCTATGATTGACCGCTATTTGCCATTTGGTCATTGGCTGTGATCAGTGCCGTAATCGGCGATCGTAAATTCTCCTGGGTCTACTCCAGTATTATCTGACAGGAACATGTAAACTCTCCCATGTCTACTCGTACTCTAGTACTACCAGACGGAAACATATAAACTCTCGCGGGTATAATTGGACAATTTTTAAAAGAAAGGGCTATGTCAATTTTACTGTAGCCAATTCATAGTGTAGCAATAATATTTAAAACAACTCGGAAGAGTTTACACGTTTTCTATAGGTGACCATAATGTAGACCTAGAGAGTTTACATATTTCCTTCAGGTAAACATAATATTGATGCGGGAGAGTTTACCATACGATCAATAGAGTTTATAGAGATTAACAATTGATCGATTTTGTTTTGTAAACATTATTTTAGCATTAAGCGGCTATAACCGACATTAAAGAATTTATAAATTAATATAATATAATAAATTAAACGAGTATTGTATTTCGATGTCGAGTTGAGACGAGTTAAGTTTAAAATTCAAGTTGTTGAAAAATGTTGAGTACTCGAGAAAAAAGTCATAATTACCAAAACAATTTCGTAAATAAAATATCAAGGCATTAACAATCTATTGATATAATTAAAACCATAAACCATACATTTTCCTGATGTTTTCTATCGAAACTATTTAGAATCCAGTTATTTATAGTTTTAAAATTTAACTTTTAATAAAGTAATAAAATGAACTCGAGTACTTAATTAAGTCAAGTACTCAATTTAAGTTGAGAATTTGTTGAAGTTATAAGCTTGCGCAGACCTATATTTCAGGAGGTGCCTGGTTACCTACAATACTTTCTACAACAGCGATTCTTAACCATAGGGTCGCGATCCAATTTTGGGTCGCCAATAATTTTAAATTGGTCGGATAAAAATTTAAAACGTTAGTATAATTTTTTATTTTTAAGTCTTATAAATAATAAATGAAACCTTATGTACGTTGGTTATCATGGAGAAAAATTTTAACGTGATTTTTTTGAATTAAGAACTGAAATAGAAGTATTTTTAAGAGAAAAAAATTCACTGTTATCCATCCATTTTCAAGTTATAATTTGGTTGACAAAAGTTGCGCATCTATCAGATATTTTTTCGTTATTAAATGAGTTAAATTTGAGTATGAAAAGGCCATTAACTGATATTTTTACATGTTGTCATAAAGATATTTACTACAGTCAAAACCAAATCAAGAAACAAGCTTGCTATCAAACCCACGATGCGTATTTCACTTACTAACTCCATAGAAGAACTCTAAATTGTTTCATTGGTAAAGCAACATCAAGACCAAGGAAGTCATTAAATTAAAAATTATTTAAAAAACCATACAATATTATTAAAAGAACTGTTTATTTTTAAATATAATGTAATTAATATTATGACTTGTTATGAATACAAGTAATATGAGTAAAAAATGTTATTCAATCAAGAGTACCAAATAGTTATTTTTTATTCCGCCATTGAATATTATTTATGAAAAGGTCGCAGGAAAAATTTGGTAAATATCTTGGGTCGCCACTACACAAAAGTTAAGAACCGATGTTCTACAATACTTTATCTTAACAAAATATGTAAGTATATTTATTAAATTATAATGTATAAATAATAAAATAAATATAAGTTTTATTTTTTATTTAATATTGTGATAATTTGTCCCAATAAATACGTTTTCCTTGAATCTCGTATATTTTTTTTAGCTTCAATTATTTATGACTTGTACTTTTGAAAAGTCAATTGTAGCTGTTTTATTATCATAAGAAGTTTTTTTACAAACATTTTAAAAATTTAGTTTCATTTTTTCTATTATTTTTTACCAAATATTTTAGAATAAATTACACTTAATATGAGCAACATCAATTAAAATACAGACCCCTTACTCTTAGACTTAAATCATAGGTCCCCATTCACTACATTTCGGGGGAATGCCCGGGAACTCAAACTTGACTCGAACAATTTTACAAAGTCGAGTACTCATCCAACTCTAAAAAAAATAGTTTGGTTACAATTGACTAAAGGAACGGGTTCCTTGCAGCGTCCAGATAGATGTGATGAAGAAAGCAAATTAATTTTATTTACATACGGATCCAAATTAGTGTATTGCGACCATGGGTGCCCGCAGGAAATTCATCAGGGGGCATAATTAAATCAAACACCAGAAACTATATTAAAAAATGTATTCTTAGCAAACAAAGATATAAGATATGTATACGAGTTATACACATTTTAGTCGTTATTAAATAAAAACTGAAGTCTTCGCAGTTGT